GAGCTTTGCAGGAGGCAGAATAAAAAAAGGAAATTGGGAAAGCTGCAAAACTTCCTGCCCCTCCAACAAAATCAATTCAATTTTCAATATGGTGCAACTGCAGCTTGGGTTTATATTGCAATTTTCAAACAACAAGTAGGGAGCAAGCAGGGGAGAATAGGCAAACAGCGTTCGTTATCTCTGCAAATTTTTAGGTAAGTAGGGTCTGCTTGGAGAAGCAGCAGCACACTACACTATGGCATGGTGCTGTATGAGCCAGTCTAAATAGATAAACATCAGAGAAACCCATCTAGCCTTGAAGTAGAATCTGCCGCTTGCAATTGTTACTATTTAACTGGGACCTAGGGGTCTTGGCCATGTTTATACATGTATAATCTTTCCCCTGTTGCCGTTGCTGTCAGATTATTTCCTCCAGCTGCAGACTAAATGTTGCTGAACACGAGAGGAGACAGAACAGCACAGTGGAGAGCTGCTGCCTTTGTCACCGGCAAGGGAATAAATTTCAGCCTGAATATCATCTTGCTGATTAACAGGCCTAACAGGAAAACTCACATTAAACTCGATATACAGGGCATCTCTGCTGTACATCGCCCCAGTATACATCTGTTCCACACTAAAGTCATTGATGCTTGTAGGAACTGATGTGTTATAAGTCCTCCCATTCCCCACTCTTAAACTGTGCACAAGCCCCCCTCCCCCAATTTGCACAAATGGAAGTCAGCCACGGGAAAAAAATTCCTGCTTTAAGTTGTTTCGCTGTAAGTCCATGTTTTTTGGAACGTATCTTGGACTTATAGTGAGGATGGCCTGTAATGCTAATCTAGCATTTCTGGAACCCTGTTCTTTTACCTGGCAATGGGAAAAGGAGGTTAAATATTTGTCTTCTTTTTAAAAGTCTCTATAAAGATCCTCATAAAAATGAAAACAATCAGATTCATAAGACCCTTATTCATACTGAGCAGCAGGCCCCAGCCAGGTGACTGAATGCTACATGATTATAGGTTGCAGAATCAGACTTATCTTTGGAAACCAATATATCACTGGGCAGATGTCCCTGACTTCCTGTGGGATTTTTTTACTCCTTTGGGGGTACCAAGGTAAGAGCCTCAAAATAGTGGGGCACTGTAACAGGAAGGAGAGTCTAGGCAGCAGGGGGCGCTATTTTGGGATGAAAAATAGGTTCCAATTTGTCCCACCTGCTACTTGATGGGAACTCCTCCCCCCATTTACAGCTGTCATTCTGGAAGCAGCAGGGATCAAAAAGCATAGCAGCAGTAGCAATGGTGAGTAGTTAAAAGTTTTATAGCTTATAGTTCCTCCATACAAGTAGACAAGCGGCCAATGGTCAATGGATTTGGGCAGCAAGCATAAGAGACTTTGGCTGCTAACATTGCCCTTTTTGGGTACACAGTGTGGCAATGGAGGTAAGGGTTTCTACTGGAAAAGGAAGGACAGGGGAGGGCCTGGGTTCTGGTGGGACATTGAATTCGTTCTGGAAATGAGGCTGGAGATAGAAGGGAAGAATCATTCAGGAGACCACCACCCAGCCTCATTGCCTGAAGGGTTAATTTATCCCACATTATGCGTCCTTCATCTAACTACAATTCAAAGAGCTTGTCCTGTTGCTTTCCAAGTTTCTAACTCTCAACTAATTCTAACCCAATATAATGTACCATTATCTCCACATTAAACCCTTCACTTCATCCCATGATTTTTCCACACTCTCAGTAGTGAGGTTGAGATACCTACTGGATACCTGCCCATAAGAGTTGCAGACACCACTCCACTATTGAACTTCTAATCCCTAAGGGAATTAGGAATTTTATTGCATGTGGAGGTCCAGAGTTTTCTCTGGGAAGAGAGTCAGGAAGCAGAAGCACAGTCACTCTGAAAAAGTGTATAGAAGTTGAATTGTGTCCAGGCTGTCTCCTTTCCTGAAGCCAACAACTTATCTCAGCTTCAGCGGCATTGCACAAGTCACTATGGGGTATCTAGAAAGCAAGAGCTTGCTGACTGGATGCTTTTCTCCAGGGCCTCACAATTCCTCTGGCTTCTCAGAGGTCATGGTTTAGGAAGGTTTAAGGGAATGATGAAGCTCATTTCCAAGCTCACACAAGTTCTTTAGTTGCTCCCCATGTCTCAGACATGCTGGTACCACATGGAAAACTTTGAAAAACATTCTGTTAGAGAAAATGTGGGTCATCCAATACATTCTCTGTATTTCTATTCTTTCTTTTGTTTGGGGCTTTTAAAACAATCGGTAGGGCCATTTTCATCAAAATAAACTCCTCATTCCTGAAAATTTTGCTCCCTGCTTGACCTTCATAGTGGTCAAGTCCAATAACGGACCAATGTGGGACATCTTTTAACAGTTTATTTTCTGAAATGATTGTTGGATCTGAGGCCTATTGTTACAAGTAATGGTAAATCCCAGGAACGATTCCTTCCCACAGCCATGGAGCTGTCGAGGGTTAATTTATTTGATTGTCTTTCATCAGGATTACACTCAGGAGTCTGAGATGCAGCTATACACTGCCCAGTAGTATTTGTTGCTTTCTCTTTTTTTGCCTCCACGAGTGTTAAAAAGTGGTTTAATTTATATGTCAGAAACAGGTAAAGTCCTGGAATGGGATCTAGAGAGCTGGAGGTACATGATATCAGAAAAGCCATGCCAAGATTGCACATTGCAAGCCAGCTGGTGGAAATCAGCACTATTCCACTGATGTCAACAAAGCAATGCCAGTAGTACCAGTGAAGGATCTGACTATGAATTCAGTATATTTTGGAAAACAGAGGGAGCCTGCAGGTTGGGTGAGTTGGGAAGATGGGTGGCAGAGACGAGAAAGACGGGATATGCAATATAGTCAGTCAAATAAGCATACATATGAAGCCTATGCACCCCTCTCCTCTATAATATACCCATTTGGAATTCCCAATACCCAAAGTGTTCCAATGTGAACATGGAAAAAGACAACAGTACTCACCCTACTACCACAATTATAAAATCTAGTAAATTCCAGCCATTGCGGAGGTAAGCGTTGGGGTGAAAGAGAAGTCCATATGCTATTACTTTTAAAAATGCTTCCACTGTAAAAATTATGAGAAAGAGATATTCCACTCGTTCCTGGAGAGAAAAGAGAAAAAAGAAAGACCACAATTAGCTCAGTGCTGAAAACCAATGGGTAAGAGACTATTTACCTTTTTTACATTTTATCTATTCAGCCTTCCGATCACTGGCCCACCAGAGCCAGTTGGGAATGTCCAGTGCTAAACCCAATGAGTTTTTCCTCCCCAACTTGTGTATTTCTGTGGCCAGCATGATAGGCTAGCGGCAGGGCAGCATGGTTAGGATGCAAGTTTCATGGCCCTTGACTTGTCAGAAACTGTAAACTCTGCTGAGGCAGAATGCTTAACCCCAGTGTTGGGAGGTATCGTGCTTGTTCAAGGTATCTTATTTTTGGGAGGATGTGTTCATAGGCACTGGCAGGCTCCAGAGTGAGCTGTGTCCAACCCTTTTGCCCTTTGAAGGGCAAAGGTGGATAGATTTGAGGCTTTGTGGAGAGAAAGGAGAAGTGGAAGAGTGGACCTGCTGACACACACATCACACCAAGCAAAACTCTTCACTTGTCTTGTGAGATTTCCTCCTGCATTATTGGGGGGAAAACTGATGTATGAAGGTGCTAAATGATTTACAGGTCACATGGATCAATTAACACTCTGGCTATGTCTACACAGCAGTGAAATAACACAGTCTGTATCTACACTACAAGCAGTTATTTTGACATTGTCAAAATAATGTCGAGCTGAAGGACTTCTTACTCCTACTCCTGTAACCTTCATTGTAAGAGGAGTAAGGGAAGTCGGAAGAAGAGTGCTTTAACTCTGCTGTGCAGACAGCGCCAAAAGCCATAATAAGCTATTTCGACTTAAGCTATGCAATTGACATAGCTCAAATTGTGTAGCTTATTCCGGCTTTAGCCCTGCTGTGTAGACGTGCCCTCAGGGGATAGTTACCCTCATTTTAGTTTCATCAGTATATTCACATGTGCAACTTGGGAAATGCAAGCCAGAGTTTGGTACACACAAAGGAAATCATCTGCAGTGACAAAACAGTCTGATTCAGCAAGGAGACTTCAGGTGTCCGAATATGCACATAACTTCTCTCTTAACTCTGGGTTTCCTATTCCCAGGTGGAAGTAGGCAGCAGCATTGTTGAGGCAACAGAGACCCCAGTCCCCCTGACCCACGTCCTAGCCAGTCACTGCAAAGGCACTGAGAGCAGCATTAGAACACAAGTAGTGCCCAGCTGTCCCAGGATCAGATATCCACACTGCAACTGGGAGCAAGCCTGGGTCCACAGATGTGCTAGAGACAGCTGTGTGATAGCTCATTGATGTGACTGGTCAGGCTGGAGCTCAGATTCTGAAGCCCATCCCCTATCCTAGATTTCAGAGTCCAACCTGCTATGTCTACCTAACTACCTTCAAAAAACAGGACTATGTAGCACTTTAAAGACTAACAAGATGGTTTATTAGGTGATGAGCTTTCGTGGGCCAGACCCACTTCCTCAGATCAAATAGTGGAAGAAAATTGTCACAACCATATATACCAAAGGATACAATTTTTTTAAAAAAGTGAACACATATGAAAAGGACAAATCAAATTTCAGAACAGAAGGGAGATGGGGGGGGGAGGTAAATGTCTGTGAGCTAATGATATTAGAGGTGATAATTGGGGAAGCTATCTTTGTAATGGGTAAGATAATTAATGTCTTTGTTTAAACTTAGGCGTAAAGTGTTGAATTTAAGCATGAATGTCAGTTCAGAGGATTCTCTTTCAAGTGTGGTCTTAAAAGGTCTTTGAAGCAGGATGCAGGTAATCAAGTCATTGAGACAATGTCCTTTCTCCCCAAAATGGCAAGAAACTGTTTTTTCTTTGTGATCCTGTCGAATATCTGTTTTGTGGGCATTGATTCTTTGGCGAAGTGTCTGAGACGTTTGTCCAATGTACATAGCAGACGGACACTTTCGGGACATGATAGCATAAATTATATTTCTGGATGTGCAGGAATATGTGTTCTTGATCTTATAACTCACTTGGTTAGGTCCAATAATGGTATCAGCAGAATGAATATGTGGACAAAGCTGGCAACGGGGTTTGTTGCAAGGGAAGGTACCAGGGTTGGTATTAGTGTGGTATGTCCTGTGGTGGTTGGTAAGAATCATCTTGAGGTTAGGTGGTTGTCTATAGGAGACTATGGGTCTGTCTCCCAGAGCCTCTTTGAGTATGGTATCCTGTTCCAATATAGGCTGCAGTTTATTGATAATGTGTTGGGTTGTGACAATTTTCTTCCACTATTTGATCTGAGGAAGTGGGTCTGGCCCATGAAAGCTCATCACCTAATAAACCATCTTGTTAGTCTTTAAAGTGCTACATAGTCCTGTTTTTTGTTTCAGCTTCACCAGACTAACATGGCTACATTTCTATCACTAACTACCTTCAGTGTGCTAGTGTGAGCCCTGCTGCTAGCACAAATCTGTGGACCCAGGTGAGAGGCTCGTTCCCACGTGCTGTATTGTCATGCCCCTGGCCTCAAAGGGAAAGGAAAGGTCTAATCTTCAGAGCTACCAAGTCTCCCTCATTTGGGGAGAGTCTTATTTTGAATTAATTTTAATTGAAGCCTCTCTGTTCGGTAAGGAACGAAGTTGCTGTATGCATTTCAAAGCAGAATTTACAAGCCTCATCTTCACAGTCATTTGGAATCTCCTCCATTTAAATTATTACAGTTTGGGCACCTAGCAAAGTAAGCCCCTAACAACCATCTCAGCCAAGTAGCCCATGGGAAAGTGAGAGATGCATTGTTCAGCCTTGCAAAATTGTCTACAAAATATATTAGCCCAGTTACAAAAAATGACTCTTTCAATCCCACCATTATTATAATAAAAATATCAGCCATTTATTACTTGCCTACCAGAAAAGGTAGTTGCCCTTGAGAGAAAGCAAAGCTGCATGGCTGCAGTGGATGACCAAAGGTGACTTGGAGAGGTTACGCTACATATTTTGTTAAAGAGAGTCACATTTAAAATGTTCAGGCTGTCTCTGGAAAAATGCAAATAAATAGACTCAATTTTTGGCTCAAGCAAATCCTGCAGTCTGCCTGGTGAAATGATTCAGTGAGTCACTGCCTGATTTTTCATCTCTGTTTCAGAATATAATTGGCCAGTTCTCCCTGCCAGCTACTCTGTTGAATGTATGCATCACTGCTTCTCTTTGGTGGATCACAACATTAAAAGAAGTCGTTACAAAATCTGACCCAGACATACTCCTGAACCTCTGAGATTAACATTCAACTCTAGATTGTTAACAGTAACCCAGTGGCTAGCAGAGCTCTAGTGGACGACCAAAGAACACATTATCCAGTTCATCTGCACATTTACATTAACACACTATTGTATATACCTCAGAAATCTGTTTTACAGTAGCGAACAAGTCTTTGTGCCTAAAAAGCCTGTAGTTTTCCATTAGATAATGTTACCTCAGCATTGCAATATTCCTTGCCCTTAGTACAGAGAAAAACTAGAGAGATTAGGTAAATGTCACTTAGTTTCCTGATGAAATTGTAAATTTTAAAGTGTGACCACAGTAGAGTGGGTCACCATTAACCTTCACACACACAGATACCCAAGACAATTCAGATTACAATTACAATGCCACTGTTGGTGACCATTTCTAAATGTTGACTTTTTAGAAGGTGACCACTCTACTTCTGACCTCACTTTACTTGTTGTTACTCAAAGGAATTACCATATAAAAGTAAATAGCCAACTGCCTGGCCACTGGCTTGGCTATAGATCAGAGCTCTGAAATGGTAAAAGGCTTGCTGATTCCTGAAATAGGCTCCTTTAATATTCTTGCTCTTCCCCCGATTCCCTAGAGCTGAATGGGTACTTGCTGAGCATACAGTAGTAATACAAACACTGACAGTTGAGTTCCACGGGCACGTTTGGAAAGTAAGCGTAAGCAGAGCTGGGAGAGGATCTCTAATAAAAATTCATGTGTGGCGGGAAGTCTTTGTGAAGCGCCTTTTGATTGCCACATACCTTTGTGCTGCCACATGCTTTTATCAGCATGGCATGGGGGTAGGCAACATTCTGCTCAGTAGGCAGCTAGCCTGTGTTAACTCCTCGGTGAAGAGACAATGCCCTAGCTAAGAAAGGACAAGGAAAAGTCAGTGGGAACACGAGGGGAACAAAGAAATGGGCTCAGCTGGGGTAGAATGTGCTGGGAATTAGGGATGGGGGTGCTGCCATTGAGACTGAACCAGCCTTGCTATGAACAAACAAACCTCTTAATGTCAGAGGGAGAGACTTCTCTTACTGCAACCCGTTCCATTAAGTGCCTCCCTGAAAGGACTTTCATAGCCATGAGCAATCCCGGTGTAGATGGAACACACTTTCTGGGTGTGGTGTACTGTACCATCTAGTGGCACTGAGTCCACTTACAGAAAGGATAATGAGTCTGCACCACAGCCTTTGCTAATAAGCAACTGGCTTTTAGCTCATGCAGTAGAGGCTCATGCACGGAGTCCCAGGTTCATTCCCACCTGCAGACAACTGGGGTGTGTCGGCATTACACCTGAGCCACCTAAGAGGTGGGTCCATGGACTGAGGTGGGATGTACTCAGAATAGTTTTTAGTGAACTGGTGCTCATCTCACAACAACTGGCAGTCTTATTTAAAAGGGCAACATTTCAATGTACACAGAGACTAAACTGCCCTTTCACTTGTGAAATCAAACTTGAGGCAGAGTGCTATGGCAATATATGGAAATATGGCGCTTGTCCCAACGCCCACTGAAATGGAAAGTCTCTTTTTAACTTCAGTAGGCTCTGGATTGTATCCCTTCCTGCCGCTGCCAGCTGTGCATCTGTTCTCACCGTGCCTAGAAAACTTCACTGCCCACAGGCTTGACAGAACAGAACCTTCCCCAACATGAAATCCATTTAAATACAAACATTAAATAAACGACAACAACAAAACCTCAGAGTAACACAGAACTTTTCAAAAATTGTGGAGCAAGCGACCTCAGCTCCCAAACCAAAATTTAAAGAACTAACAAGTTCCA